AAGTATATTCTTATATAATTTTTTTTCTCATTACATACTTTTTATATATTATTTACTATTACATATAATAAGATAGAGGTAAGTTAGTAATTTGACTAAGATACAAACATATCATTCTATTATCCAAACAAAATAGTTATCATTAACATACATTAATACATAATTATCTAAATATAAAAAAATTTTGTCATTCACATCATGTGTCATTGTTATCCAATCATTCCTATTACCATACATTAATTACTTATTACTAAAATTTATCCAATCAGTCTAAGGGTATGTGGTGCCCGTAGGTCATGCTTTTTGATAGACTACTTCAAGTGGCTAATAGGAAATCAAAGATGTGATCAATTATGAGCGCATTCTTCGCTGTGTAAGGCCCAGTAACTTTCCAAGATGTGGTCCAGTTAAAATAAATAATTATATGAATTAACAAAAATGTTGCTTAGACGATAACAATGCTCTTTATACGATGTGGGATAGGGAATATGGTAAGATGGCTTGGTATAAGTTGTAGTTCCCTCTGTCTGCTCTTTGATAACTTCAAATATTTTTTTCCTTGTTGTGGACTTTCCAGAAGTGATCCAACTTGCTTAAACCATGGTCCAAAGGTACAGTCCTCAGTTAGAGTTGAAGATATTGCTCTTCTTTCTATATGGAACAACGAAGGTAGTAAAAGGTCAAGATATGCAATATGGTTCATCCCATAGTTTAAGAGTTTTTAGTTTTAGTTAATCTTCTTCTTCTTCATTGAAAAAGATGTAAATGACTGACTTTGCCTCTCCAAGACTAACAAATTTTTCTTCATCTCTCTCTATCAAATCCTCTTAGACATAGAACATAGCTTAAATTATTAAAATTAATTAAGATTAGTTAAAATTAATTGATTAATTAATTTACTCATTTACTAATATTATTACCTAAAAAATGCTAGTATAGACAATGATGCAACACCCATGTGTTGTGTAACAGCCCCGGAAATATTAAAAAGAAATTAGTATTTAAATATATCGAATGCGGAAGCGAGATCAAAATTTCAGTTAACATCCCTTACACGAAAAACCAAAAACGTACTTAAAATATAAAAGATTAAACTAACTAAGAAAGAAACTCGAAAATAAACTATGCGTATGACTACAGAGTCTCTAGGCATCCCCTTCGTCGTCCTCCTGCGGAACGGGCTCGGGAACCATGTCTTCCTGATCTGAAATGGTTAATTAAGGAGTGAGCTACACTAGCCCAGTAAGAACATCACGATATCTCACCGTCACGGAGATAAAGGTGGGTAGAAAAACACAAAAAGACCAATGGAGCATAATTTACAACAAACTCGTTTATTAACATGAAAACCTTTACCATCCACTTACCTTGGTGGAATTTATGAAAACAATATAAGAAAAACAATAACATTATCATAATCATTGAATAATCTAAGCTGTAAAACATAACACTTATCACGCCTCTTGTAATTCAATCATTGTACAACATATCTTTTTCTCATTTACCAGCCTACTAGTATCCGTGGGGGTCCATAGGGGTTCCGCTACCCGTTAACCTTTAACATTCATAATCAGTTTCCAGGGCCATTCCCATACCCCGTCCGGTATGGGCGCCAAAACCATGAACCTCAATACCCCGTCCGGTATGAGGGTGAAACGGGCCGTCCCCATACCCCGTCCGGTACGAGCGCCAAAACCATAAACCTCAATACCCCGTCCGGTATGAGGGTGAAACGGGCCGTCTCCATACCCCGTCCGGTATGGGCGCCAAAACCGTAAGATCTCCATACCCCGTCCGGCATGTGAGACCACAATCCCGGTAGGGTTCCCTACGGACCCGGTCCGTCCACCATCTCCCAGGATATCTAGTCAGGCTGACCCCCATAATACAATTATCAGTCTACACAATCTTTCATTTTCCTTTTCCTCAATCAGCATCATCAATTAACATACAAACAAGCAAACAGTAATTCATGCCAAACAGACAACATACAGTATCAGTTTTTCAGTCATTCAACCCATGATTAATAAAAACGTAGTATATGCACACAAATCTGTAAAATGAACACATCAAACCTCATTTTGCATTTAAAGCTGTAAACATGCCAAATAACAGTAAATCACCAATCACACTAGACTCGGGCTCCATTAGCTACCTTAAGCAATTTCACACTTTCGTTAATTCAAGAAATACCGTTTTATCATTTTGAACTTTAATACCGTGATAGAAAATAGGGTGAGGGGTCCTTACTTGTTTTCGAGATCCGAATACGATTCACAGTGCGCCTGCAGGCCGTCCCTAATTTTCCCTGAATTTTTCCCGGGAAACTGAAACACACTAAGAGTACCTGCACGTGTTCCAAAAAAAATCCAAATTAGGCCCAGGGCCTCTTTCGGCCCAAATCGCAACTCCGGCACGGCGGCTCCGCCGTGCTCCGGCGACAGCGCCGCCGCTGGCGGCGGCGAGTCGCCTCGGGTTGGCTGTTTTCGGCCGTTTTTGGCCGAATTCGGCCACACTCGCATTGGTCCTTGTCAGAAAACAACCCTAGGGCCCTCGGGGGGCCAAAAAATCACGGAAAAACGGAGCTTACCGGCGGCGGCGCTCTCGGGTGCGGCGGCTCTCCGGCGAGGTTCGTGTTTTGGTGATTCGGCTCCGGTCAACCTGTAGAGAAAAGAATGGTGATCACGGTGATATAAAAATTGCATCGAACGGAGGCCAGGAAGGGCCTCGTCGGAGGCAAAAATCGAGAGGGGGCGCGGGGGCGCGGCGGCGCCGCTGGACTTCGGCCGCGTATTCCGGCCGTTTGGCCGGGATTTCGGCCTCGATTTGGCCATAGGAGGAATCAGCGGGGAAAAACGAGTCGGGGGTATGAAATTTACCTCGATCGGCGGTCGGAAATTTCCCCGGTGCGGCAGCGAGTGGCGGCGGGTGGCGGCGGTCGGCCTCTGGTTCGTCTTCTCCGGCGAGCGGCTGGCGGCTAGGGTTTGTGGTCTGGTGTGGGGGTTCTATTTATAACCCCTTGCCTTTTGATCACAGCCGTTCATTTCGTTTTAATCTGGGCCGTTCGTTTTTGATTGAATCTGGGCCGTCCGTGCGTTTGAATCTGGGCCGTCCGATCGCGCGATTGATCTGGGCCGTCGGATCGCACCCACGCGG